TCTTGGCCGCCTTCATTCTTCGCTTCCACTCTGGCTCCACCTCTTTCTCAGCGGACAAATAACCTGCGGCATTGCCACCCCTGGATTCTCCAGCCGCAGATCCAGACCTAAAGGATTGTTTGACCGGGAGCACGAGCCGAACGCTGAGACAGAACGTAATGTCTCCAAAGCCAAAGAACAAACAGCGGGGGACACTGGGACCCATTCGCGAGCCAAAGAGAGCGAAGATGGCACGCCAAGGCACGTTCTCTAAACTCCCGGTCTTCGTCAGATTCATTGTCAGCCTCGGCTGTGGGTGGCTGCCACAGTTGCGAAGTCATGTCAATCCGGATTGATAAACCCATGGTTGTTTTTGATTGGGGGGTCCCCTTTTCGTGGGGATTCCCCTGTGAATAGGACGAACATTAAGAGTGACCGTGCACATGAGAGTTACAGCTGATTTGATCTAGATACGCGCATGACGCTGATACGCTTGCGACCGCTTTCGTATCAGCGAAAGGCGTTCGCAGCGCAAAGGCTCCACTCCCTTCTTTTGTGGCAGTTGCTCCAAAGAAGTTCATTCTTCCAGCCATGAAAAAGCAAGCACTGCCAGAGAGCCTTGGACCAACCTGCCTTGCAAATATGCATAGACATCGTTGGAACCTCCTTTTGCCGCCCACGGTCCTTCACATTTTCCCCAGACATCCGCGCACCCAAATCCAAGCCAAGGCACGGCCTCCTTGGCTTCCACCGCTTTTTTCTCGGAGCAAAACGGGGTAAACGGCCGAAATGTCGAAGCCTGAGCCTTGCCTTCGTTTCCCCGGATCCCGATGCTTGTTTTCGAGGGCCCTTGAGGGCTGGTCGGGGTTCTCCGCTGAGCGAGGGGCGGATATCTGCATTGGAGGGGTCATGTGGGCGGTGTTCGTTTGGGTGATGATGGGTGGGAACTCCTGTTTCCCCGCTGCAAGCACAGCCCCAAGCCGCCACAATTGAAACCTTGGGGTATTCCCTATCCGAAAAGCGGTTTCCTTCAAGATTTCTAGATTCGTACCCAAAACCCCTGAGCATTCCCTGGAGAACGGCTCATGGAACGTGAAAGAACAAGCTCCCAGTTTGAAGCTGGAAATGGAAGATGACCAGCAAAAGACTAAATACGGACCAAAACAAGGAAACTAAAAGGTCGAAAGGTCGATTCCGCAACTGAGTCCTGCAAGTCATTGATTTCGGGGTGCCGTGTTGCTTGTGGCAAAAGAAGGCGGCAACACTGCGGATATGGCCAAACAATTTCGCAAATGCCCCGTCACCTTTCCCAGCAACCACAACTGCAAAGCTTGTCTCAAGCCAAAGCAGTCCAAAAGCTACAGGCATCTTCATCCAAAGCTTTGCGCTGCTTGCGGCCCAGCGCGCCGTGAAGCCCTTCTGCGACTTTGCGCCTTTTGCTTTTGCCTGGCGTCCGCTCAAGAAGCCGCCAGGAGCCATGCAACAGCTGACTCGCAGATGCCTCCCTCCCCTCCGGGAGGGACTCTCGAAGTACATCAACTCCAGAAGCAACGCAACAAAATATCCTGAACAAGGCCAGCGGCATGTTGACATTGGGAAGAGCTAGCATGGAACCCGAGAAGCAAGCTTTCGCAAAAGAGCTGCCTTGTCAAGAACTATGCGAGGGGTGGCCGCACATAAGCTCTCACGAGCTCACTACAACGAACAGCAGCATGTTGCAGCCTGGGAGCTTATACATTTATGTGTATACATATAATAGCTATACATATAGATATACATAGAGAGATACATCTTATGTGTATGCATGTATGTATGTCTGTGTGTCTGTATGTATGCCTGCATGCATGCGTGAAAATATGCAGATGTGATTGAAAAACAATACATGTGCATATTAATCTACAATGTCCAACCCGAATATGTGTAGATTGTCATTCATCAAATAAATTTATGGATTGTTTTGTAAACCTTGAGTGACGCATTCAGCCCTCTCCACGTCTGTCTCTCTCGCCGCGCCTCCCGCTGCACGTTTTGGGGCCGTGAGCCTAGGATGGGGATTTGAGGCCAAAAGTGGCCGAACTCCCTTCGCTTGGCAGCTTGCAGCTGTTAAAACTCTGATTTGAGTTTCACGGCAAAGAACTTCCCTCGGTCCCTCCCCCGACGCTGGCACCATCTCCGATCCCCCGGGCAGGGGGTCTGCCTGGCCGGACGGCCTTGCACCCCGAGAGGGTCGCTTTTTATGACCCAAGATGGTTCTCCTTTTGGGTTCCCTCAAAACCACAGACAAGGGGTACCCTCCCAACAAAAAAAAAACATGAAAGAACAAAGACCAAAGCGTGTACAAGGAGAACTCCCACATACCATCTTCCACTACTTAGCCTCTCAATCATGGAGCGCTTGGGGCCCGCTGCGTGGGCTCCTCTGTGTTTGCTGCGGCTTCGCTGCCACCTTTTTCTGCTGAGCCGAATGCTCCCCGCCAAACCGCCACCAAAGTCCCAACCGCGCCAAATCAGATATGCGCACGATGTGCTTCACTCGCCCCAGAATTGATCAATGCTGCATGCTGGGGTTCAAATGCCCGAACCCCCAAACCAAACCGCCCACCAAAAGTTACCCCCTGAGACCAGAACAAACCCGCAAACCTCAAAACCTTCAGTGATCCCCACCCCCAGCCCCCCAGCCCCCCAGCCCCCCCCCCACCAGCCCAACTGTACAGCTCCGGGCCTCCAGCCACACCAACCCAGCACGGGGCCAGCAGGCCCAGCAGGGCCGCAGCCAAGAGCACCTCATAAAGACCCCGCGCGCTCGACGCGCCCAGATCTGCCAGGTGCAAATCTGGCCTTCTCTCTTGTCTCTTTGATGATTTCCCCGGATTCTGGGGCCATGGGTCAAAAGCCAAATCGTACCCCCGGTGAACACTAAAATAGGTTCTAAAATGGGTGGCGCACCTACCCCAAAATGGTACCATTTTTCACCCACAGCCAGATAGCTTTAGCTATCTGTGGTCTTACTTTCACAGGATGGGGGTTGTTCAGCGCAATCGGGCCAGGCGGACCCTGCGTGCTGATCAGGGTGTGGTCAGCGAGCTGGACTGGCTTTGCTTAGCGCAACTTTTGACGCGTCGCTGTCTTTTTCCGCCCACGTTGCCAGAGGAAAGTCCCTCTATTGGGGGAAACGATCGAAACTAGGGGCCTTCAGTTCGGTTTTATGCTTCTTGGGTAAAAAGTTGGTGCGACACCACGACTCGAGCTGGGGGTGTTCACAGGAGGGTCAACTCTCCAGTGTATCTGGGGTCTATGCTGGTGTAATTCCCCAGATAGCTGAAAGCTATAGGGGTTCTAACTTCTAACAAAGAGGGGCAAGTGATTCGCGAAATTGACGGCATGCAGTCTGGGGTGCTGGCGCAGGTGCTGTTTTCTCTGGGAGGGCTGCTTGGGGGTGCTGTTCCTGGGTGACGCTGCGGCCGCCTTTCTGCGGGTCGATTGTTTTAGCGCGCTCTTCGGGGGGTGCTGTTAGAGGTGCTGGTGTGCAGTCGTTGGCATGTTTTTTGTTTTGCTATCCGGAGTCTATGCTGGTGTATTATTTGCTTGGCGGGGAAGGGGGGGGAAGTTTCAGCAAACACCTTTCCCGCTGACCACGTGACGTGATTATCTTGTCGTCTGTCACTTGCCTGCTTTTCCGGATTGCCTCAGGCGCCCTCATTGGTCCGCCTTGGCATGGTCAGTCTTGATGGGCACGACGATTTCTCCTGATGCAGCCTCCTTTTGGTTGCTGGTTGTGCTTTTGACGCTGCCTTGCTGGCTGTATGAGGCCATGGCCAGCACAACAGCAAATATCACCTTTGCCTGCATTTGGGTATACAAATCATTCAGCACTTCTGGGCGTGTGTACCCCTGGTCCAGTTGTCAACCTGTTACGTAGCCCTTGGGGTCAGTACCGGGTGACTGCCTATTACTCCTGGAACCGCCGCATTCTGGGAGGCGCTGGGTCACACTACACAGGTCAGGAGAGGCAGGCGTCGACCCTGGCCTGGCTCTCTCAGCGTGCCGGCCAATTTCAAAAAAAAAGCACCATTTCACATCCCGCAGACCAACAAAAAAAACGTCGGAGGTCGTCCTTCCATCCGGCTTGCCGCCCAGCTGCTCTCCCGAGACCGCGACGACGTGAGGCGCTAAGCACCGCCACCTACCGCAGGGGTTTTGGCGTTTTTTTTTTGTTTTTTTTTTTTTGGGGGGGGGGGGGGATTGTGTGTGTGTGTGTGTGTGTTTTGTTTGCCCCCCCCCCCCCGTGTTTTGCGCGGCGTTTTGCGTTGCAACACTGAGGTCCCGGCACTGCAGCCTGCGAAGCGACGATCCATTTCCAGCGCCACAAGCAGAACCAGTCACAATAGCACTGAGCTTATGATGTCTTTCAGCTATGCAACACATGTTTGGCGAAATGGCTTGAGCCGGCATGCAGCATTTCACACATGTCGTATCCGCTCGCTGCGGGAAAGAAGGTGGCTTGAAGATCCTGCGCACACCTGAAATCGTGCCGGACTCTAGATTGATTCCTTCTTTCAGGGCAAACATTCACCACTGCCTTAGTGCGTTTGAGCACTCTGAAAGTTCAGCTGCTTGTGTTTTCGCACGGGTCCGAACCTTGCGTTTGGACGGCAACACAAAGCATCATGCCCCCCCCCCCCCCCCCCGGCCTTGCAATGGCAAGGTCCAGCTCTTGTACTTTAACGGGCGCTAAACAAAGGAGAATACCCACAATGCTTGGGCCAACAAAGACATCCTAGCCCATTCTGTCTCGTGCGATCCGGGCCAAACAGCGGGACTCGCGAAGCCCAGAGCTTCAGGATAGAAACATCGCGACTGTTCAGCCGGCTTGTTGAACGCACATCCTGTTGCTTTGCTCGAAAGCAAAGAAGTTGGACCCAACCCCGTATTTTCCGTATACCGTATACCCCTCAAAGCCTTTTGCTAGAAAACACGACTCCGCAGGAGTTCTTGTTGAACTTGTCCGCGCCTGTTCCGTTTCTTCCTTTTTTGCTCAAGCCGGGCACTGTCTGTGGATGACGCTGCTTTGCAGCGAACTGGCACGTGCTGATTCCCAAAAAAAATCGCGCACGAATGCACATTGCGGAAAATGCAGGCACTAGGCGCGGTAGACTGCTCCAAGCTATTGCACATCCATAGTAAAGGGGGACCGGTGCTTGATGTGGCGATGCCACATTGAGTGAAACCTCTTGGGGACAAACCCCAGAGATTCGCACACCCTGAACTCGATACAGCTACCACCCATCCTGACCCAACTCTAATCAAGGTATTCATGTTATCTGGGCCCCAGTCACTCAAAAACATGTTGTCTTGTCCGCGGGCAAACCTCAAACCACTTCGATTTGGAGGGGGCCCAAACCATTCCTATAAAACCTTGCAGTACCATGGCAACAAGCCAAAACAAGAAAAGGGACATCCAAAATGGACTGCGTTGGGCCCTCAACACGGATCGCAGGTTCTCCGTACCAGAAAAGACGATCTGGTGATCTGTCCTTCGATCTCCGGTGGAACCCAGGGGGGATTTGCACCACTTTGGTCCGGTCAGGCCTTCCGTTGTCCGAGCAGTATCACCACTTGACATTAAAAAGCAGTCGCCACCAGGAGCGGTGAAACCTGTTTTTCGCAAGCGCTAGAGAGCCGCCGACTCGGTGGGCTCACTGGGCAGGCACAGGCCTTCGGTCGCGCCTACCTCTCTGACTTCGTTAACTTCGCTGACTTCGTTGACTTCGTTGACTTCGTTGACTTCGTTGACCTCTTTGGCTTCTTTGCCATCTGCATCTGCTTCAGGTGAGAAGCTTGTGGGCATCCTGGGTGTGTCTTTCATGTGTCAGTCTTTCTTTAAGGCTACCCTTGTTGGATGTTTCTGTTTGTTTCTTCGCAGCAAAAACCAACACAAGACTCCGGATTTGGCGTTTTGGGGTTCCCCGACATGTTCAGCCAGCCCCTCCTGGAGGGCCTAGACGCCATGGACATCCTCCTGGACAGCCTGGAGAGTCGGGCCACCAAGTTCCATCCGCCCGCCTCCGAGCGGATGGACCGCTGCTGTGTGGAGATCCGCGATCCAAAGCTTCGCAGCTCCGTCATCTCCAGGGCCTCGCGGGGCCGGACGGTTCGCCTTGCTGGTGCGATAGGTAGGGAATGTGCGAAATACAGGGATTCCCGAAAGCAAGCCGCCGGTGGGGATGGTGTATCTCGGGGTCATTCCATTTCTCATTACCTACCTATCGCACCAGCAAGACACGCAAGACAAAGCTGGGCTTTTCATGAAGCTTGGCTCCGATCCAGAAACGCCCCCAATTTTTCCAGGGTGTGTGAATCAGCGAAATGGAAGTCGCTTGGCACATGGCTGTTCCCACATTCCGGTCAAAGGGTGTTGGGCCCCACCAACTGGCACCAATTCTGGAGGAAAACTGCAAAAGTTCTCATCTCTCTGTGAAGGCCGCAGGCCCTCAAACAACAGTCGTTCTTTCAGGCAACTCAGTTAGATCCAACTTATGCCGAAGTCCAAAGCCAACTGAAGTTAAAGAAAAAAAGAAGGAAATAACAAAATGAAGGAAACAAAAAAAGTCCTGCATCTTGGGCCTTGCGACGTCTTCACAGTGGATCTCTCTGGGGCCGCTTGGGCACTTTTTTCCCGTTTTAAAGGGGCCTCAGCCCAAGAAACGAGCCCGCAAGAGAATCCGCCCGAGTTTGACCCAATTTGCCACCCCCCGCGCCAGGTCATCCGCCAGGATGTCCACGGAGCGCATTACAATGTCCAGGTCATAGACCGAGAGCTTTGCAATGTTGCCCAGGAGCTCCTGAGCTCTCATGGGTCGGCGCCCTTTGCCAAAGTGAGACGCGGAGAAACGGCAAAAACTTGAACTTTGTGAGTGTGCTCGAGTGGCACGGGGCTCTCGGGAAACACCGGGCAGGGGCTATCCTATTCCCGTCCTGCTTCTGCGCTGGTGACAGGGACTTCATATTCTCTGCAACCTCCCCGAGGTGATCGTAAATCTCCGCCGGGTCGGGCAACAGCCCGAGATTCAGAAGCCAGAACTCATCCCTGCGGGAGCTTTTCAGGAAATGCTCCAGTCAGTGTTGCCAGGAGACAAAACCAGATAGGAACGAATTCAGCTTTGACATTAGCCTGGCAGGTTGTGCAAGTAATTGAACTTAGGCAAGGAATGCAAGTTCTGTAAGTTCTGTATGGCGCGTACATCATGCGTGTCAGCAAGTGCGCTCATGTCGTTCCGCCACGTTGGCATGCGGACTCAAACAGCGGCAGCTAAAAAGCTTTGTCAGGGCGCTGGCCGCCGAGCGCACGACGATGAATGAGCGCACCCAGTGACAAGAGGATCAGGAAGGCCAGGCTGCCCAGCATGCAGGAAGATACGACGGTGGCCTGCAAGTCCGAAGAAAATCCCGTGACGACTTTTTTAGGCACGCAAAAAAATGGAAGCCGCCGAAAAACATCCCCGACTTTCGAGCAATAAAAAACTACAAAACAATCATACAAGGAGAACCCCTCTCCCCGAATTGTTCCTCCAAAATGGTGCTTCCCCTTTTGGTTTCACGCACCCATTTTGTTGGGAACATCATCGGCGTCACAAGAGTTACTTTCCGTGGGGGCCACACACTGCTGCAGGATGTCGAGATCCAGCGTGGTTCTTGCCAGGCCCAAGGAGATAGCCAAGAGCAAGACCAGCAGCATAATTGTCACTGCATCCATCAAGTTCAGGATGGGCGATTTCCACGGCCTAGGGAGGCGTAAGGGATGCAGCCAAGTCACAGGGATTTTGACAGCGAAATTGTCTGAGAAAATTGCAGAAACGCCATGCAGCTGCCAACGCTACATTGACAGCCGGCGCAGGTCCAAATGGATTGAGCTAAGCCGCAAAAACCACATCTGCGCGCCAAGCGATGCTAACCTGAGCAGACAGGAGATCCCATTGCCGCCGGCCAATATGCGAGCACGCCAGACAGCCCATATGACCCAAGCAACCAAAGCATTAAATGCCAGACCAAACGTCAAATATTGTCAAACCAAAGTCGTCCCACCAAAACACTTCAAATCAAAAGTCTATATGAATGTGTATATTGATATATAGTGTGAGCTACCGCCACAACCCTGATGCGCGAAAACGGAATATCTCTCAAGGCTTCGTTTAAAAGACTCGCCTTCGTTTTTGCGGCCGTTGTGAGCGTGATGCGCGACAGTTCTTCTCATGCCATTGAGAAACGATACAACAGCTCTTCTCCGACCAGCGAAAAGTTTGTCTCCAGAACCGGCTGGGCCATTGGGAAAGGCACCCTAAGCTCTCCTCGCTATGTTCGACAGATTTGTCTCCGAAAACCGGCCATGCCATTGGGAAAGGTAGAATGCAACAGCTCCCTCCTCGCTAGAAGTCTGTCTAGAGCATACTCGTAGGGTTGTAAACAACGTGTTTCTTCTAGTGTTGGCTTGCCTCCAAACTCCGAACGACAGGCTTCCCATTTGAGAGGGGGCCTTTTCACAAGCCCTCATCTGAGCCAATGCTCACGAAACGGAACTTTCGTGAAATTGGCCTATTAGACCTTGCAAGTAAAGCCTGGGTTTGTCAACTCAAGAGGACTCTGTGTGAGTTAGAGCGGAGATTGCGTGCAACCTGGCTACCACGCGTTACAAGTGCTCCACATACACATCAGCGCGAATGCATCAGGACATGCGCGAACAACCCCGCGCCGTACCGAACCTCCTCCCAAATCGGAAACGCCAACCTTACCGACGCAGAACTAAAAACACTCCACTCAAAGCCTAAAATGCTAGGAATGCAAACGACTTATTGGCTGAGCAGACTGCTCAAAATCAAAAGCCTTCGTTTTAAAGACTCTCCCTCGTTTTGGGGGGGGTGTTAGACCCTATTCCACTCCAATACATATCTCCTGTTCCGACCCTTTTGGTGGTAGCTCATGTGTATATATATATATATATATGTGTACTATATGTATACATGTATAGGTAGCCCCCCTTAATCATCATGTCAGGGTTGGTTTAGGGTTTAGGGTTGACTTAGGTTCCTTTAGGGTGGGTTTAGGACTGGTTCAGGGTCAGTCTGGGTTTGTTTTCCGGGTTGGTTTGTTGATTTAGATTCAAATAACTTGCGAGGGTCGGTGAAGGGTTGATTAGGCTTGTTTAGGCTGCTTGGTTTGGGGTTGAGGGTTTCCTTGGGGTTGGTTTAGGGGCGGTTTTGTGGCGCTTGGTTTCGGCCTGCCCCGGACGTGTTCAGGGGCTCAGGGTGGGTTCTGGAATGAAGTTGAGGCAATTGGAACATCAACGGTTTTCTAGGCCCCAAGCTACAGATCTCGGATTCAAAGGCAAACAAAAGCTTCCAGAGGTAGAATAGGTAAGGCGGGGACGCAGCTCAGAAATCACATTGGCTCGGCGACGCTTTAGGGTTTAGAGCTTCAAGAAAAGAAGCGCCGCGCAGGAGCGTCTCGACCCTTCGAGCGTCTCGTGAAAGTGATGGGGTTTTGAAGGTCAGAACATTGCTGGCAGGCTCCTGGGGTTCGGCTTGCTGGGAAGGGTCTTGGAAGACCCAGACCTTTGGGGGGGGGGGGGTGGTGCACGACGTGGTGCAGAGAAGTCAACAAGGAAAACCGGACCATATACACCGGGAAGTGCCCCTAGTAAACATCATTGGCCCTACAGCGGACCCGAAACAGGAGGGCCTTTCAACTCTGTAAGCTTTTCAACCCATAGGCGAAGCCTCTAGGCTCACTTTCTGCGTCCTTCCTATGCCCAATGCACACTGTCACCCTCACCCCGATTCCGCCAGCTTTCTGCAAGCTGCAAGATGCAGAGCATGAGGGTCAGGGTGAGTGCCGGCATGTCGGTTGCTATCACAGCAGGCAGGGATAGTAACGGCCCCCTCGCCAGAAAGACCAGGCCAAACCACCACACGTCCGCCCTGGCTGCGCAAGCGCACCGTGAGGAAACGTGCTGACAAGATCCCCCAACCATGATGGCCGCAAGCATTGGGCCAACTCCCAACCAAAAGCTGAAGCCAGCATCCCACACATCCACACACACAACCACCCCAGGCACGAACGCACGCGAAAACAAACAAACGCAAAGGAAAACCGTGGTCCTTCCTGCTTGGTTGACTGTTGGTACCTCGGGCTCACTGCCGAGGCTTCTCCAAGCGGAACAACGGGTTGCGTGGACTTCGTCCTCTTGAACCCCTTCCCCCCTGGGCAAGAGGTTGGGAGCGCACCCTTGCCCCCCACTCGCCTGAAACGGAAGATCAAGAAGCGCAAAGTCAACAACTGCGGCTTCCCGGATAACTTCCTCGGCCAGGCGCGAAGCAAGGCTTGTGGACTTGACAAGACTTAGGTCCCATGCACAATCTTATAGAAGCTATTTTCTGGTTGAAAGAAATGATGGAAAGCAAACAATGCAAAAAAGTCAGGTAGGTAAGCGATCCGTTTTGGCAATGTCAAAAAGGGAGCCCAGTCAGGAAAGCCGAAATGTCAGCCTAGACCTTCTGATTTGGCCTGGTGTTGGTTGGTAGGAATGGCAGAATCCATAGACCGGATGCACCAAAGTGCTCATTGCACAAGCCGTGTCTTTCCAGTGAAAAACTTCCGCCAGGTCTCGGGGCGACCTTCGCAAGGTAGCAGCACGCTGTAAAGAAGACGGTCAGCAGCAGCAGCACCAAACTGCCGAAGACCGCCATGACGACATGATCGCCCTCGCCTGGGTCAAAACCCCGTACCCCCAGTGAACATCCCAATCCCCACTAAAACTCACGTTTAGGACTCGCAGTCCTGGTTTCGTTTGAATCACCCCCCACCCAACCCTTCTAAGCCCTAAGGTTGCTTAGGCCCACCGGACAGTCCTCCAAGCTTGGAGCCCGCCGGACAAGAACTGGGAGCGCGCTCTCAGCTTCATACCAGGGCCTAGACCTGCGGTCTGGCCCTGTTGGCGTTTTTGGACCCGCAGGTCCTTTGATGTGGGCGTGGGCACGCATGCCACGCCCCCCTTTTGGCATTTTAACGCAAGGACACGCTTGTCTTGCAACATTGTTTTCCACAAGAGAACATCTCGCCGCTTGTCCCAGGTGCACCGCAGTGCCCGAGGAAAGCGCCACCGGGACCTTTAACAACTGCACAAGCGAACCGAATGCCCCAGGTTTCAGTGCACTCCAGATGCCAGTTGTAAAGCCACGTGTGCCTTGTTTTGTGGCCGCACCATTTAAAGTTGCGTCGGTTGTGCCGGTGCAATCGTTTCGGGTCGCACTTGCAAATACGGTTGCAGCAAAATGCCATTTATCAACCACTTGGCGCTGTTGCTCCTTACGTGGCTTTTGCCGCGTTGTGGTATCAGTTTTTTTTGAACCACTCGCTGTTGCTACCACGCCAAGTGTCAAAGAAAAAAAGGCACCGAAAAGGAAGCCACATTGCGGTGTCGATCTCCGTGGCGCGTGTTCTGAGTGCTTGGGACTCTGGCGCACGGTCGTTTGGGTTCGCGGAAGGCAAGCCCATCAGGGCTTTTGTCTTGGTCACGGCAATGGAGATTTGAATGGTGATCTTTCCCACAAGAACTTCGTGGCCAAAAGCAACAAGAGGGTTATCGAAGTGTGGGTATGCAGTGGCAGTGGCCAACCCAAGAAAACGCCCACGTTACGGAATGCAGTTTGCAAAGTAGCACGGAGTTGGTCACATTTTTCAAGAGGCCACAGGTCGTCTGTGACAAGATCAGATTTCCTGACACCGCTGCAGGTTTGCATGGCGTCTCAACAACGAATTGCTTTTGAATAGGGCGTTTGAAAGGTAACCTTGAATCAACAAGTAATAGCATTCTTAATGTTTGCACCAACGGGTAACTTGTGCTCTGTACTTAAAATCTTATCGTGCTGGAGTTTTCATATTTGGCAAAATAGCCAAGTCTATCGGGCTAATATTGTTATCGTTGTCGTTGTCGTTGTCGTTGTCGTTGTCGTTGTGGTTGTGGTTGTGGTTGTGGTTGTGGTTGTGGTTGTGGTTGTGGTTGTGGTTGTGGTTGTGGTTGTGGTTGTGGTTGTGGTTGTGGTTGTGGTTGTGGTTGTGGTTGTGGTTGTGGTTGTGGTTGTGGTTGTGGTTGTGGTTGTGGTTGTGGTTGTGGTTGTGGTTGTGGTTGTGGTTTTGGTTGTGGTTGTGGTTGTGGTTGTGGTTGTTGTTGTCGTTGTGCCGTCGCGCGCAGTGGCGGGAGTCTTGTTGCGCGGCCATCCCTTTTGCTCGTTTTTGGATGTTTTTGCACGATTTCGCTTTTGAGTCCGCATGATTTTGCACGATTCTTGCTTGTTGCGGGGCTTCTGAAGGGGGTACTTAATTAGTGCCCGGTTTCAAGGGGCTTCAGGCCGGGCAAGCTGCTCAATCCCTCTGACACTCTGATGGCTGGCTTGTAGTGATGTTGGCTAGGGTCTCAGCTGTCTCATGTATCATCTGGTATGGGGGGCAACAAGTCAATCAGACGTGTCACAAACCAATCTGACATGTCCAGAAAGGTCTGACCGATGTCACAAGTCAATCTGAAGGGTCCACATGTTGACAAGCCAATCTGACGGGTCCGACAAGCGTGCTTGACCCGCAGCCCGTTTCCGGGCCTGGAAAGCACTGAAGGAGGGGAACATTTCGCCCCTTGTCCTAGGTGCACCGCAGTGCCCTAGGAAAGTGCCACCTTCCCAAGCAACCCGGTAACAAGGTGTGCGCCTTGCTGTCGGCTTTTGGATTCTGGGTTCTTTGTGGTAGCAGTGCGCGGACCTTTTACGCTAAGTTTCCCTTGTGTTTCATAGGTCTGGGGTGAATCTCCTACGCCGCCGCCATTTGAGTAGACTCTGATGGGTGGTGCACCTACCCCAAAATGGTACCATTGGTTTTGACCCACAGCCATGTCTGGCTCTATGTGCCAGCTTCTGAGCATTAAGCCCGCCAAAGCCAAGACCGCTGAAAGTGCATGAGCGGACCGTGTCTAGTTAAACGCCTTGTGAACTTGGAATCACAAGTCGGGCTGAAAATGGTTGGCCCAAGAAACCGCACACGACCTCCGTGTATTTCAGCACGCTGTGTTCGCCGGTGGGGTGGTTGTAGCACATGAACGGCCTCAACCCCACGTTGGCCAAAGTGGTGAAGCTCACTTGCAAGAACTGGCCGGTGGTGCCTAGGAGTGCGGCGCAGGCCCTGTAGCGCCCGATGAGCTGGCACGACGAACATGAACATGTCTAATGCCTGTCTTGATAGCATCATGTCGCTTCCGCCAATTTGCCCCAGAAAGTCCCTGTCACCAACGTTGCGCTTCATTCGCCCGAACCTTTCATGCCTATGTTGCCTTGCCCTCCCACTTCAACACAAATTCGGCGTGAGGCGCTTGACTTCACCTTGCCCGTTGGACACCCCTTCAGATGCCAGGCTGCTGAGGGTCTTGTAAGGGTCCCACTCAAGACCGCGCCGCTTCAGTGCATTCACGCGCCGCGTCACAGCACCGACGGTAGGCAAAGCTAGCGTCACGATCAAGAAGAAGCTGCAAAGAGCCAAATAGCCATACGCATCTCCTTCAACAACGCAAATAAATCCAAGATTGTCCAGGTTCATTGTGAAAATCGCGCAGAACCTCAGAGCCCAACATGGTGTGGTGCATGAAGTGAAGACATGGATTGGCCCACCACTTCACGAAGCTTCACCCCCTCAAGCAAAGCGAAAAATCCGGACCAAAGTGCCTGACGCACAACGGGGGGGCGATCAAGGCCCGAGAAAAGCCTCGTTGAGCCCCGGCTGCTCCGTTTCTAGCTTCCATACACTTCTCAGCCTCTTTACGCCTCTGGTAAAGCCTTGAGCCCGGAAGGGACCAAGCCTTGGCATCACTGTCCCGGCACCCCAAAGCGGCATGACGCGGAGCACGGCAAATATATGCTTAGATACGCATCTTAAATAAGTATATGGGTACAAGGCCTGAATCCCCTGTCCACTAAAGAAGGCATGGCGCGACATCTCCCAATAAGACCTACACAAACGGTACGCGCAAGGAGCTCCGATCTCGACGCGGGTGCTGCGCGGTCTCATGACAGGATCTTTACTGAAGGCCACAAGATTTCTGGAGGCAACTTTGCACAAGATCCCTAGAAAGGATGTCTAAAGAAGAGTCTGTAGAGCACCGCGCCACGGCGAGAGCGATTGGAGACAGCCAAAGTCGGCAAAGGGTCGCTTGCTATGTTCAACATTTGCACCATGCAACTGCAAGGCGATTGGGGGACAGCCACAAAGTCCGCAAGGCGTTCGCCTGCAATGTTCAAAATACACGCCGCCAGCGAGAGCAATCGAAAACAGCCACAGCAAGACAAAGGGTGAGCCCGCGCAGCCAAAACACGTGCGAGCCAGCTCACGCAAAATGGTCCCTGCCAACCCTCAATCTAACCCTGCCCTGCTGTTGCCGTAAGAAGGCCCAAGTGAGAAGACTGCTTGGAGAATAATGGCATCTATAATATCTTCGTCAGCAACAATCAAGTGCACAGGTGCGATTCTGCGGAAAAAGAAACTAGAACCACGGGTGGCCTGAAAGCATCATATGGAAAGTGAGTGTTGCTCTGCGTGTGCAAGTGCTCAGCCCAAGAGCTCAGTGCAAGTTGGTCTGTGTGCGCAAGTGCTTCGGCTGGCAGATCGCAACTTTAAATTACGAAGTACTACGCGAAGAACTTGCTCAGAGGCAGAGAACTTGCTCATATAAACTTGTTCTGAGCTTGCGCAGCACACTTGTGCAGAGCGCTTGCACAGCGCAACTTGCACGGAGCTATCTTCCAGCAAAAGCCTTCTGAAAACGTACTTTGCGTACTACTTTCGTGCGTAAAAGTTGCGATTTGCCAGCCGAGGCTGCGAAAGTGCTTGAAAGTTGCGAACTTTCCCGCCGAAGCTGCGAAAGTGCAAGAGCAGACGCGCAAACCAGGAGACAAACTCTCAAGCTACAAGCATCTCGCGCGATCTGCACATCGACCACGCCAATCAGAGTCGTGCGCAAAGCAGAAATCGTGAAAAGCCCCCAGCTTTGGCACATTTACCGCCAATCCTTGCCAGAGGGTTGCGCGGGCATGTTAAAAAATCGAAAAAGTCTTCAGCTTTTTGGAGTTTGACCACGCCAATCCCGGCAAGGGTGTCATTTTCGCAGAGTGGGTTCGGTCCCATTGTGCCGCCTGAAGAGACTAACTGATTACTTTCGTGTCAACGTGTCTCGTGCGAGCTTTCTCGTGCTACTTGGCTCGTGCAAGTTTGGCTGTACGATCCTTCTTGTGCAAGTTGGCTCGTGCAAGTTTGGCTGCGCCATCTTTCTCGTGCGAGTTGGCTCGTGCAAGTTTGGCTGTGTGATAAGGCCGGCGATTTTACCGGAAGAACCCTTCGCAATGCTTTCGGGAAAGAACGAGAGCAGAGTGAAACGCCCAAGACAGCATCTTAACATCGAAGCTGGCAGATGTTTCGCCAGGCCGGGGGACCTACCGGGAATCGATTTACGATGACTCTCGAACCAAGGCTGACCAAAAGTGACCTCGGGGTTGATCAATGTTCCGTTCGGCTCCAAAATGACCATGGGTAACTTGTCCCACTTAGCGGTGAAGCAAGGTGACTGGCAGAGACAGTTGCGCTGCGCTCTGTTCAAGAGCCCTTCATTTTGGAGAGGCTACCTTCGTTTTGGAAAACAAAAAAATATCCAACGCCCAAATCCCGCGCAGATGTCCTGGAAGAAAAAAACCGAGAAAAAAAAAGAAGAACAACAAAAGAGGGGAAAAAAAAGAAGAAGAAAAAAAAGAAGAAGAAAAAAAAAAAGAAGGAAAAAAACACGCAGAGGCCGGGAGATTTCCCACGTGCCGCACCGAGCAGCTCCAGCACTTCCCTGAGGCCTTGAGGCCAATCCACCTGCACCAAATACAGCACCCCCAGGGTCTGAAACGTGGACAGCATCATGCCCAAGCCTTAGACGTCAAGTGGCCGTGGGTCAAAAATAGGTACCCAAAATGGAACCCTGGCAAATGGAAACATGGACTAAAATCTGCAGTCCCCTAGTATCATCTGTCTTACTGTTTCGTTTTTTCCGCACCTCCGGAAAAACTCTCTGAAATGTAGCATGTTGAAACATGGTTTCTGACAAAACGAAGTGAACTCAATGTTTGTCTGTCGGGCCCCACCTGTCGCAAAAGTCGGTCAAAACAAGTCAGGTCGCACATTCTTTGCTTCAATTGCACCACGCTGCTGAATCGATGGCATAAGTTTTGCTACAAGCCCAGCCGCCGGGTGGCGGCGGCGAAAATGAGTCACGTTTGAACGCATACTCACCATGCATGTTGCCAAGCACTGCTTCGATTCAAGCAGCTAGCTGTCGTGCAGCCCAACGCGCTTGCCTTCGCCGTGTACATTGATGTGAGCAGATAGTACGAGCTGAAGATCGCCGTGCAAATTACCAGGACCGCCCCAATCCAGGCATACATCACTGCACCACAAGTCTCGCACTGATCACTCATCCAATACTGGCCCACAGGGCAATGTCCACAAGTGATGCCTGACCGGAAACTGCAACTAAAAGCTGTAACCAAGCCGAAGCGAATCATCAGCTTGTGGGCTGCGAGGTGAATCAAACTAGAGATTTGGGTATGGGTCCAAACTTTCGCACCATGGGACCACAGGGTCCAGTCCATGTGTCCATTTACCAAAGTTCCATTTTGGGTACCTATTTTTGACTTATAGCCATTTGAATTTAACGGTCTTGAAAGTGGCTGGACACGCCGCACAAAGCAGACGACCAGTGGCACATCAGGAGTTCACAGCGCACGAAAGCAAAACCCAGAGTAATCAGCTGGCCTTGCCCAAACCGGCGAACAGGGCTAGCGTTTTTTTACCCTAATCAGCTCAGGTCATGCTTCGTATGGCTATGGGTCAAAACCCTGTACCCCCAGTGAACATCCCAATCCAACCACTAAAATAGACTAAAATGGGTGGTGACTTCACCTACCCCAAAAATGGGATCCCATTAGTTTTGACAACCACGGCCATATCTTTGGTCTTGCCTGCCTTGGCGGCCACCAGAGCAAGTGCCTGGGGAGCCACCTGGGCAGAAGTCATCCTGGCACTTGTAGAGGGCCAAAGGCGCAGCGGTTTCCGAATGGAATCCGCGGAGCACCTGATGAATCCCAAAAAATGGGGAGGGGGGGTACTGTACCCCAACAAGACACCCAAATTCTCTGAAGATGCCCTTTTTGGCGGGGAATTGTTTTAAAAAAATGGGCGGTAAGGCAAAGGCAAGGTCTTCCCATTCGCTGGACTCAGCCTGGACTTGGAACCGTCTGAAACGCACATGATGCCCGACTCACGGCCTTCGAAAATTCCAGCCGCCAATCAAATTGGCTTCCTTTTTACCCCAGTTTCCTTGACGAAACCAGGCAGGGGTCCAGTTCCCCCGGCGCACGGACTCCCGCGCCCCATGCGCCGCACGTGCCAATTTTTCCGTGGCACGTGCGGCAGGCTGTCGTCGGCACCCTGCACACTTCGCAGCCGTGGTATGGTGCTGCCCAGGGGGCACCACAGGCCTTCTGGGCAAGGGAGGCACAGACCTGGGAGCTGCGCCGGTGTTCGGGGCCCTCGTTGGCGGCTTGGTGGTTCGGAGGTGGCTTTCCAGACACACTCCGCAAGAACTGCCTGAGGTTTGGTGTGCGGTTGGCACATCGCTGGTCCCAAAACAGCTGACCAGCAAAGTCCCCAGACCTGCTTAGCCCAGCCAAACAGACAAACAGACAGTCAGGCAAACATACAAACATACAAACATGCAAACAGGCAAACAGGCAAACAGACAAAGAGGCAAGCAGGCAAGCACAAAAACAGACATGCAAACAAAAAAAAACAAAAACAAACAAACAAAACAAAACAAGCAGACAAACAAACAAACAAACAGACAAACAAACAAACAGACAAACAAACAAACAAACAGACAAACAGGCAAACAAACGAACGAACAAACGAACAAACAAACAAAAACAAACAAACAAACAAACAAACAAACAAACAAACAAACAAACAAACAAACAAACAAACAAACAAGCAAGCAAGCAAGCAAGCAAGCAAGCAAGCAAGCAAGCAAGCAAGCAAGCAAGCAAGCATCACACACACACACATGTCCGCACGCCCGTCTTCAACATCGATCCAAAATGAAAGGAAGATTGGGTCTTAGGGGCTATTTCTCAGGCCGATGGAAATTCCGACTCAAAATCCTGGCAAGCTCCGAGTCAAAGTTACCCACGGTCATTTCACTAGGGGACCTAAATGAGTCATAATCAAAACCCGGTGCTAAAATGGTCGACCCAGAACCATGTATATAAGGAATTAAGAAGGCGGACGCAGCTATTTCTGGCGACTGCCCCTTACCTTCACTTGCCCGGATTTTGATTGTGACTCAAAGGGGCCACACCGACCCCACCCCACCCCATGGAGGATTGATCAACGCCCAGGTCTTTCCCGAGGCGCCGTCTTCTTCGATGAGCCCGGCTCTGCACACGCACTGCGCCAGGCTGGCGGCACCCAGCAGCATGGTGCTTCTGCTCGCAGGGCACAACTTGCAGCCGCTCTGCGCGGGGGCTTCTTGGTAGAAGCCTAGGATCAGCTTCGTTTCGATCCTTCTTTCTAGGGGTTGATTCCTTGTCCATTCTTTTCAACCATCGTTCTTTTCAAAAAGGTACCCCTGGAAACTTGGTGAGTTTGGACTTGGGTGGAGTTTGGACTTGGGTGGAGTTTGGACTTGGGTGGTTTGGAAACTTAGGAAAACAGCCGCTTGCCGGGGTCAAATCCCCAAACCAATCCAAGCCACTATTTGAGGGCTACCTCAAAGGAATGTCTTCGAAGCCCCACCCCCCCCCCCCAGAAAAAAAAAAGGATGCCAGCTGCTGGCTGCTTGCTGAGAGCAACACACAAAATGGACCAACAGCTGTAATGAAGCTGATAGCTTTGAAGAAACCAACTTCCAAAAGGACCAAAAGCTCTTAAAGAAGCCTTGCTGGCAGCGCTGGCATTCCACACTGCCGTAGGAATCCGACGTGGTGCCCTCGCAGGGATGCAAGGCTTGACATTTGGTTGTACCAAACTGGTTGCACTCCCTCCCACTAACATGGCACCTGACAAAGGGTGCCTTCAAGAGGACATGGATCTTCCAGGTACATCCCCACAAGCGCCATGTTAGTGGGAGGAAGGGTATCAAGGTTTATAGTCTTGACTATAATCACCATAAGGCCAGGGGTTTTGGGCGCAGTGACCTATGAGAAGTTCTGCCCGTCCTGACCTCAACGGCCAAGTCAAGATGCATCTTTCTTTGCAGGGGGTGTCACTTGGATGCTCAACCCACTTAGTAGGTTATAGCCAAGGGGACCAACCCCAGTACCCCAAGCTATAACCATGGTAAAATGAATTACGTAACCGTTGGATGAATATCCAACTGGGTTCATTAGACCAAATCCTCAAAATGGCCCTCCAAATCGCAGCTTGAAGGGAAACAACGGGGAAAAAACTCTGAGACCTCACGCTCACTTCAGCGGACCCATCCTCGTACTCGCGCACTCCACTCCCCGACCCGCCTTTGGGCAGGGCTCGCACTGGGTGGCGTAGGTGCTCGCCTGAAAATAGCCACGGGGGCACCGGCTGCAGCGGTAGGTCTTCCCGATCAGGTCCCGCACCTCCGAGAAAAAAAAACGGCTTGGAAACCCTTTTGGTTGAACATAGACAGGTTTGCCTGGTTGATACTGGGTTTTCCCTTTGGTTTCCCACGGTCAAAGGGTACCGAGCCTCAAAACACAAACCCAAAGGTGTAGAACACAGTTTGGAGAGGCATTGTCTTGGTGGATTTCCACCGCTAACTCTTGGCACTTTTTGGCGCTTTCGCCCTGGTTCCTTTTTAGCGCTTACTAACTTTTGGCACGCTTTTCATATCCTTGGGATCCACCAAGGCCACATCCAAACCGTTTTCTAGAGACCTTTCCAGCGTGGAGGGAATTGGGCTGCCCCCTCATTGAATAAGAAAAAAATTATGGGACGTCGCCGCCAAGAGGATTCACCCCGAAGTTCGAAAGGGTCACAACGTTTTGAAAGTTGACTCCAGGAAACAAACATGAGCAGCACTTGAGGACTTGGCGGGATACTTCAAATTACTCCCACTTTGAGGGATATGCAATCAGCCCTGGAAGCCCAGCAAAAAATGCCCCCACAAGGCTACCTATGCACGAATTCCCAGAAACTGAGGCGGATATCTGGAAATAGCTGAACAGGCAAAGTTTCCCAAGCGGCAATTTGCTCTTCCGGCCAAAGGCCAAGATCAAGAGGATGGCCTTTTTGCAAACAAAGTAAAACAAGTGCATGTGGCTCTCAAGATGTACCAAAATGGCAGCTTTGCAAATGGAACCAAAGAAACCCCGCGTAACCCTGCTGGCTCTTCAATTTTGAGCCACACCCGAACTCCCCGCGCGAAGCAACTTTTCTCGAGCTCGCCTCCTCCGATGCCCGCCCGGCAGGACACAAGCCGCAGCCCGTCGCGCCGGTGCGGCTGTCCAAGAAGGCGCCTCGAGTGGAAGAACCAGAGCACCACAAAAACGGGCACATAGCTGTGGGTCGAACATAGGTATCTAACAGGGAAACCTGGGAAATGGACATATGGGCGAAAAGCTGCGGTCCAATTCCTGGTGGTTTCGCCTTGAAGCTACCAAAAGCGGTAATATGCTGTTCCAGCCAAAGCTGCCAAGCCTTGCCTGCAAGCAGGCCGGTGCTGATGCAGCGTGGACACTGCATTTGCTTGTTTCTAGGGTCAGTGTTGTCTGGGGTTTGCTTGGGCAAGTGCCGATGCTCAGGGATGTCGAACAGTGCCCATGCACGCCGCTCGCTCGCTCGCGCAAAGCCACTTTCCGTGCGTCAGTGAGTTTTCCTACAAAGACGAACAACTGCGGAAACCCGGCGTTTCTGCCATGCCACGCCGGCCACTTTTTCAACTGCCACCGACGCACAACAAGCAGCTCTGCACGCACGGCAAGCTGTGTACGCTCTCCGCTGACAAGGTCGGCAGCATCTACAGGCGGCGTCGTAATTGCTTTGAACCGCGCGGATTGGGCCCATTTTGATGGGCGGCTGCCTGCGCTGGCGCTTCTAAAAGTAGACCATTGCCGAAGCTTTGCTTTCCACTTCCAAGCGCATGCTGATGACGCATGGTTGCCTTCCTGGAAGGCAAGCCCGCATCACCATGAGTCATATGCTCCCGATAGCCGCATCGCCTCGCCCGCATTGCCCGCATCGCCAGATCACCGGTAGTATGCATCGGTCTTCTTTTGCTTTGCTGGCACCTGCCTGCCGCCCAAAGGCGTACCAGCCACGCCCAAATCTACGTTTCTGAGGCGCAACCAGCCGGGGCCTGCTATTCACGCACAAAACGCTCCAACGAGAAGTGTAAAGTCCGGCGTTGAGTGAACAATTCACTACAGCATTCGCCTGTGTGAGTCGGAAACCCGCTCAGATGTACTGGGTGTATACTGATGTTGTTTTCGATGCTGGCTCAGACACTGATCAGCAGAAAACCCCGCTTAGCGGTGGCTGAAAGATTGTGAGGCCACGTTTGGCGATGATGCAGGACTTGGATGTTGGATGGTGGTAGACGAGGATGGCCGAGGGTGATGGGGATGACCCAAAGGAAAACTATCACTCCTGGGAGTCCTCCTATTTTGACATTTGCCAACATTTCCTTTCCATGTGAACCCTCACCCTTCGGGGCACATAGATTCCTCAAAACAGGAAGTCTTCAGCTCCCAATTTGGGAGCTAAGGAGCTGCCAAATTGGGAGGCTTCAGAAAGTTGAGGCTCTGACCCTGGGCATCCACCAAGCCGAAGCCGGAGAGACAGTTCGTATCGGTCTCGGCAGGCACCCAGCTCCGCCACCTCTCTTCGTTGTTCTTCATCCAGTTGCATGCAACCCGCCGGATCTCATCTGAACCCAGCGTTTGGTACTCCAAAAGCATGTCCTGCACTTCAGGCAACTCGAACTCCATGTTGGCCACCTAAGCTCTGCATCCCAAAGCTCATGGCTTGCAAAAGATTCATTCAAGCAAGATGCTTACAAGCTGGTGGCACTTGCAAAAAGAAAATGTGCTTCGCCAAGGAACGAACTCCTGAACTCTCCCCGCCTTTGATTCCAGGTTGGTGCTTGCCATCTTGGAGATGTAAACCCCAGCAGCCCCGGTGGTCTTGTCCCCACGTGCCCATGCATTGGCACTGTGGCGAGGAAACACGATTTCAGATGGCTGCCTCAGACGAAACTTCCCGCTGGGGGCTTTAAAAAAAGACACCCATGAGAACATCCTTTAAGATATTTTTGTGGGGCAAGCCACGAAGAAACCAGGGCCTTTTCTTACGGCATCCACTTTGAAGGCGCACATCTGAACCCAGCCTGGAAGAAGCAAAGTACCCGCGCAGAGTTAGAAACAAGAACCCGGCCTTTGGCAAAGCCCTCTCTCTCACTCCCGGGGGAGATGAAAGAAGCAAAGGAATCCTAATAGCCGATGCTGAGCTGCATCTCAATAAACGTGGAGTCCGGCACCCACCAGTAGAAGAGGCTCCGGACGGTGCCTCATTAAAATTGCCGTGCCGTGGTCTCTCTTTCCACTGACCGTCTGATGTGCTGGCCCGGTCACGCACATGCTTCACAAAATGTGTCCAGTCCCCGGAGATGGTGATCGCTGCTGGAATCCCGTAGGCGGTCGTCCACTGCATCATGGCCTTGCGCCATTGAAGCTCTGGAACGAGTTCACCCATTCACACCTAGACCGGCTTGTTTAGCAACCTGGTCACGGCCCATGAAGTAAGATTGCCAAACAACCCGTCCGAAGACTCTTTGTGATCTGCGAACAGGCTGTGAAAGAGCACTGGCAATCGTTCATAAACTGGCAAGCGCCAAGCATTCTAAAACCATCCAATGCACAAAGTCCGCCAAGATGAGGGTGCAGAGCCCTCCCGGACCGAGCTATCCCCACAATCACCAGGAAGAACTACTCTCCTTTTTTTTCCCTTGCATGGGGTGCACGCCCTCATGTCTTGACCAAAACCCGCGTGCTCGCAGAACGCGCTTGGGATCTGACTCTGGCTGGTAGACTCCAGCCTGCAGCTTCCAGCCAATCCCGGCAGTGATCACGGGGATGCATTCCTGAGGGGCAAACGCCAACACGCCGGCCTCTGAAAGCACCCCTCTTTCGGCACGCCTTGAGGCGGCCTTCCTTCTGGCACCGGACCCCCTCGCAAGCCTGGCACATCTCTTTGACGCCTCAGGGAAGGGCCTGCACAGCATCGCCGCCATATCCACGCAAGGCAAGGGAAAACTTGGAGTCCAAGGTGCCAAATCTGAGAGAACCAAATGTTACACAAAAACAAAGGCTGATCCGCATATCGGCAACGATCAGTCACGAGTTGCAACTCGGACCTTGCATTGCAGGTAGCGAGGCTGCGGCCACGTGCCTAACGGCGCCCTAACAAGGAAAGCTGCAACAAAAAGGCCTGCCAGCTTGAGATTTCACACGCACAACAGTCCACGCACTGGAAAGAATGCAGCCGGCATTTGTCTGCCAATGGTCAGGACAGAGCTCTGAGCTGGTCTTGCTTCAAGTGCCCACGGTTGGGACTTGCTTGAGGAATGGCTGCAAAAGCAAGACATGTACAACCCCGCGCACTGTTGTGGTGTGTTTGCGTTCCCCCAGGTTGTGGGGTGGCTCAGATATGCTGAGTTTACCAAGGGGTCAAAACGGGCGTTACGTGACTCGGTGTTTTTGTATGTTCATGCACGTGCAAACAAGATGCTCTCGCATTTCGTGTGGCCTCCGCAAGGAACTGGACACTTGCAACTGTAAGTCATGCCTTGGACCAAATTGCTCAAAGAACTAACTCATAGCAACGTGCACAGGGCAAATTGCAAAAGGCAACTTGCATAGTGGCATAGAGCAACCTGCGCAACCTGCGCAGATAGATTTGTATAAAGTGCAGTTGCTTCGCAGGGGCATATTCTGCGGGGTATGGTGTCGTGCGTGTGCATGCCTCGCAAAATTGGGAAACAATGCTCTCGGGCCAATCGTCCTCTAGTTGAAGACGATACCGTTGCGTTTTGAGGGCAGTTTTGTTGTTGCGTACAGGGGCCGGTGTTACATGTGCTCTGGTGGAACAAAAGTAGAAAGTTGCATTTTGCCGGCCAAGGGTCCTTTTGAGGGGATGCGAGGGTCTTGGTTTGGGAACGTGGTGGCAAGAACCCCGGGATATCACCAAGCGAATCGAGAAATCGAGAGGGCAAATGGGGAAAGGCCCGAGGACGGAGGACGGGATAGCCGAAACATGTGCGAGGCACCTCAGCAAAACGCAGCAAGGGCAAAGCAAAAATCATCGGACAACATTTGAGCAAAAAGACTGGTAGCCGGGCACGGGGCAATGAGCAAGAACAAAGCTGACGATACCCTCCAAAATACAACCCTTCCAGAACCCTTCCAGGACCCCTTCTGCCCACAGCCACAGCCTGCGGGGAAACAAGGCACTTGAGTAATGTGGTCTCACCCTCCCTCCAACAATCATGGAGGCTGACAGGAGGGTTTGAAAGGCTACTTTCTTGCCTTTTAGGGTCAACCTTTGGGGTAGCCCCTGTCCGCTTCCATGATTGTTAAGAAGCAAACGCAACGGTTTGCCGAGTCTCAGAGATATTGTGGCGGCAGGCTGGGGCGAGCCACCAATAACCGTCCGGGCAAATGGCAATGGTGGTGTTGTCCGGCAGCTCCTGCACTCCTGCCACAGGCCATCAATGCTGCGGACCACGGACAGGAAGCCACCCAATGTTTAGCCATCCCGGTTTCGTGGCGGTGTGTTGAACCCCATTGCATGGTTCATAGCTCGAAGCACCAGTCGTCAGAGGTCAACAACTTGCTTCCCTGTCGACAAGAGGGACACATTCTACACCTGAACATCGCCTTGTAAATGGTGGTTTCCCTTATTTTGGTGAAAAAAGCCATGCTTCAAATATGCAAAATGTATCTTTTAAGGAGCCCTGAACAAGAACATGTCCTGCAGCGTCCCCGGAGTACTTTGCATAGTTCCCCATTCTCAATGGGTTGATGAAGTCTGTGGCATTGCACGGCGACAACTCCCAGACGTTGATGTCAGCCACGGAATCGAAGTACTTCTTGGGGTTGTGGTGCGTTGTGTTATAACCTTCAACAAAGCACAGGCCCTTCCCTCTGCCCATGTCAAAGCAAGATACCCGATACAGTTCTCCGCCCGGAAACATGTGAGGTTGATAGATCTCACTCAACCAATTAACATGGAACCGAGACTGAAAGGCAGCTCCCATGGCGATTTACCCGGGATTCCGAAACACCAACAAAAAAAGCTCAAGGATGTGGCAAGGTTGCTCAAAAAACCGGAATTCCAAAATGGGTTGCCCTGGCAAGTGGAAACATGGTTTCCAAAACCTGCGGTTTGCCCCTGTGTAATTTTGAGCCACCTCAAAAACGAGGGGACCAAAACCTGCGGTTTGAGGGTGTGGGACCTACCGATCACCGGTTTGAGGGTGTTGCAAACACTGAAACCGGCCCAAGGCGCTCTTGTGGAAATCCAGGTTTAAGCCTTCCTCATGAGCAGCCAGGAGCACTTCACGAGAAAGGAACATGGACTCCTGCACAAAACACGGCGCGAAAGAGGCCATGAGGTTTCAAGCAAATTTGTTGGGTATGGGCCAAAATGAAACAACCAGGAATTGGACCGCAGATTTTAGTTCATGTTTCCATTTACCAAGGTTCCCACTTTGGGTACCTATTTTTCACCCACAGCCAGTTAGTCATCACCCGAGAACAGCACAGAACGGCGAAAGAGGCTCGCGCAAACAGCTGGCAGCCAAGCAGTCCTCGCCCGCATAGCCCATGGACCCCAAATCAATCGGGGCGATGCTGGGATAATCCTTTCGAAACTCCGCGTAGAGGCCCGCGTAGCTCCCGATCCAGGCATCCACTGCGACATGAAACTCCGTTTCGTTTTCTCCACACCTCTTGTCGGTAGGACTGTCAAAGTTGGCGCAACCTCCCAGCGCATAGATCGGGGACGCGCCACTGGCGCCCACGCGCGGGTCCACCCGCGCGTGATATCCGAGACCTTCCTGGACCATCATAACGGCCATCTCATTGAGTAAGTATGATGAAGGCCAACTGCACGCCAGAAAGTTAATGGATTTGTTCTCACCAAGGTCATTGTGGATGAAGGCTCGGGATTCCTCTGGAATCCCATCAGCCAAGCACAGTCCAACCTCGCCACGGGCGCAAACAGCCGAGCAAACCAGAACAGCGGCCAGACGACGTCTCCACGCCCAAACTGTGCACTCTGTGCACATGGAAGCCTTGCCCTACCTGTATATAAACTTGAAATGAAAGCTAGAAATGCCTGCGGTCAACAGTCAAATTTTGTACAGCAACCCCGGATTTCAGGAAAATGTCCCTTGCCAAGGCTGCCTTCTCGTTCGCTAGTCGCATAATGCCATCTTTTCAACGAACTGGGCCTCCTCAATCCAAAGCCCTTTTTTGCATGCCGCGATTTGTGCATCGCACCGCAAATTGGCAATGTGGCCTAGATGCACGGAACCACCGCATTTATGACATCATTCCCTAAACCAGCTGAGCCCGGCTGAGCCCTAAGTGTGTTCTGCTGGTGTTCTTGTCACCCACGATGCTCTAAGTGCACTGCTTTATTAACGGGTTTTGCGGGTTTCTTTGCGCCGTTCTCTGCCCAGCTTGCGAGGCAAGCCAGCGCCTCTGAAGTTCAACGGCTAGGGTGGGCTCAAAGGCGATTGAGAGGCGCGGCGCGGCGGAGACACTCTCCAACGCTATGATAGGGGCAAGACCTCAACGAGACGGTCGTCAAACCTGCCCATCACTTTCAAGCCGGGGCACCTGCGTTGTCAAAAGCGCGCGCCCACCCCTGATTAGGGCAGCAGTTGCTTGAGCAGGCAGCCACGGCTCTGCAATGCCTTGGACCTGCCGCAGGATGCGCGACCCAAAGGGCCAGAAGGGCGACGACAACGACAGCGCGGGGACAAAGGCAGGAGGAAGCTGAGGGAAAGGACAACTTCGGACAAGAGGACTTGTGAATGGGCAACTGGTGCCAGGGCGCGCTTGTTATAGGCGACATCGAACCTGAATACTGGATCAGCTTGAAGGCTCTCGGCAAGAGCGGCTGCAGCTGGCGCCTGTTCTGGGGCGGTGGTTCCGACACATTCTCTTGGGCAGGGGCCAGCCTCAGCTTGTGGCGGAATGCGGGCATGGCATTGTGCGAGCTCTCGTCCAAGGATGGGGGCCAAAGTTTCGAGCGCCTGCCGCGCGACAGTTTCGACTCACCGACCCCATCACTGACTCGACTCACTGCCTCACTACGGACCCAACCGCTGAGCCGCAAACCTGAGACCAAAATCCGAAAAATCACAAACTTGCCCTACAGCACACACCTAAACATCGCCTAACCCCGAAACAAACCTAAACCACCAGAGCCAACCGCACACCCAAAACTCAAACCTAGACCCCAAAAAAATGCAAAAACTAAACCGCTACACTAACCGCCGCACGTACTAACCAACCCATCCAGTGTCTTTTTCCCGACCTGCTTTCAAATTTGAGGACTGGGCCCCGGGGAGAAGGGCTTTGCAAGCTCTGTTTTCGGAGGCCGGTTTGCTCACCTGCACGCTGTTCTCCCGGAGGGCGGCAAGCGGACGGAGGCGGAGAAAAAAGGCGGCAGTCGAGATCTGCGCCCGGCCCCCTTTCCAGCACAGTGGACAGGCGGGATCAGACACAGGCTTTGGCGGACTTGCCACAAACGCCGACTTGGACAAGCCGGGGCCAGAGTGACCATGCACGGGCTGAGCGACTGTGCGGAGGGAGGCAGGGACATAGCTGTGTGGCGTCTTTTTCCCGAAAGCATCGCGAAGGGCTCTTCCTCGCCTCTCGGACCAACTTGCATAGAGTCACTTGCGCAGAATCAAATACATAGAAGTGCATAGAGCCGTGCATAAAGCCAAGTGCATAAAGCCAAGTGCATCAAGCCAAGTGCATAGAGCCAAGTGCATGGAGCCAAGTGCATGGAGAATGCAAGTGCATAGGGCCAAGTGCAAATAGAGCCAAGTGCATAGAGCTGAGTGCACAGAGAGTTCATAGAGCCAAGTGCATAGAGCCAAATGCATAGAGCCAAGCGCATGGAGCCAAGCGCATAGAGCCAAGCGCATAGAGCCAAGTGCATAAAGCCAAGTGCATAGCAAGTGCATAGAGCCAAGTGCATAAGACAAGTGCATAGAGCCGAGTGCATAAGACAAGTGCATAGAGCCGAGTGCATAGAGCCGAGTGCACAGAGCCAAGTGCATAGAGCCGAGTGCATAAAGCCAAGTGCACAGAGCCGAGTGCATAGAGCAAAGTGCATAGAGCCAAGTTCATAGAGCCAAGTGCATAGCGCTTCGGCGTTAGCAGCCATGTAAGTTAAGTTTAGGTTTCTAGGGCGCCGGGCAGGACTTATCGTCGATCGAGATTGCGACCCTCTGCGGGGATCGGCGTGGTCGAGGTGCAAAAACTTTAGGTTTTTTGCGATTCTTGCGGCGCCCGCGCGACCTCTGCGGGATCAGCGTGCAAAAGCTCAAGGTTGTTTTTGTTTTTTTCTCCCTCCACTGCGCGACTGAACCCTCTGCAGGGGATCGGCATGGTCGAGGTGCAAAAATTTGATGTGTTTTTTTTGGGGATTCTGCGGGGATCGTGCGTGTGGACGCGCTCTCGCTGTGGCTCCGTGCGAATTCGTTTAGTCTCGGCGAACCCTCTGCGGAGATCGTGCCTGTCGAAGCGCTCAGTCCAGCAAGGCTGCGTCATGAGCAACAGCAAAAGCCGCAGTGAGGCCAGGCTGGAGCAACCAAAGCACATGGTTGCACCGAGGGGACGCGCAGAACAGCAACAGCAGCCACGAAGCCTGCAAATCCTCAAGGCCACGGATGCGCTGGAGCAGGCCGGCGTGGCTAGCGGACAGGCGCTGCAACTGAGCAGCAACAAACGCGGGGGAACCGATTGTCGCACCAAGCACAACAAGCCCGCGGGATTCAGGGGGCAAGGAGTGGCAACCGTTTTCCAACGCCAGCTCCCTGCGTTGCTCGAGGTAGCCCTTCTTTGTGTCTAGCGCGGTCTCGCGCCCATGTCCGGTGCATGCAGTGCGCTGTTTGCCGGCAAGGTTGGCAGCCCGGGTTTGATGCGGAGCTCGAGGCCCTTTGCTGCCGGTTGGGCATCGACTGGCATGCCTTGCAGTTGCAGGACCCGGTCCCTGTCCAGCCACGTTTACAGCCAGCCCCGGCAGAAACTTCCGACGTGGAGCCGGCACCTGGCGCCGGTGAACCCGTTGCTACTGCCCTTGCTAGCCACCGTCCGTGGCTTGCTGCCGGCCCCCCGGTTGCAGGTGTGCCCCTTCTCTTGGCTGGGGGAGGGCTGCTGCTGACAACCAATGGTCCACACACCCTGTTGCTTCTGCTTGCTGGTGTGCTTGCTGTGTGTGCGTGCGGTCCCGGTGTCTCAGCTCTTCGTCGCTCTTGAAACCTTGCAGGCCGTTGCCGTTCATGACGGCCGTCAACTACCCTCTGCGGAAGCCTGGCTCTTCCTTTCGAGCGGCCACTGCGGCCCTGCCCTCCTACACTTCCCGTGGGTCCTGGAGCGGTGCTTACTTGACGGGGGGGGTTACATCCCTGCTTCGGCTCAGCAGGCTCTTTTGCAGTTGTTTCTTGGAGAGCGCTTGGCCTCGGATTTGGGCCGCGTCGCAGACCGTTTCCGTGCCAGCCCTGGCGACGTTGTGCCCGACGCCCAGCCCGAGACTGCCTGCACGGCGGCGCCCTCTCGTCTCCCGGGTCGCCCTCCCCTTGGACTTTTCGAGGAACAAGCGCCATTGGCGCAGCCAACGCCCGCAGCCTGCCACCATCCCCTTGGACTTCCCGGTGATCGCGCCAGCGCCCCCACACATGTCTCGCTGGCACACGTGCGCCCTGTCACCCCGCTAGCTCCGAGCTCCCTGCCCAGTGGCACGGCGGCGGCTATTGCCCCCTTAGCAGAGCAGGCGCCAGCGCCCAACCATAGCTCTCGCTCTGCTAGCTGGCCCCGCCGTTGCCCGGACAAACGTTCGCCCCCCTTTCCAGAGGCCCAGCACTCGCGGCCGGGGCGCCCGCCGCAGCCGCACCGTCAGCAGGAGCCGCAACCAGGACTGCCGCCACAGCAGCAGCCACAGCTGGGCCAGACCTGGCGGCTCCCCTTCCCCGGCACCCCGGCCCGCTAGCCCCGCAACCAACAGCGCCACGCCGCCTTTGCAGCCCAGCCGCCTCCCCGATTCCCAGCTCCGCACTGCTCTGTCGCGTCTGGATGCGGTGGACGTGTTGGCCCTGCTTCGTGTGCAGGTCCCCTCTGGCTTTCGCGCTTTCCATCGCCTTGCAGGCCATACTCGATGCGAGTTTGATTGACGACGGGCATGTCTCTTCCCAGCGTGCCTGGAAGCTGTGGTTGCTGTTGCCTCGCATGCTGCTCCACCGCCGCCCGGGGCAGCGCCACTTGTCCCGCCACCGACTTCGCGCCTTCCACGTGGGGAATGGATGACGTTGTTGGCCGAAGTTGCCCAGTCCCTTCCAGGGAGTGATGAGCCGCCACGGGCTGCCCCCACTGCGGACGCCGGCCCGGAAGGGTCTACAGGCCTTTGCCCACCTCGTCCACCTTGGGGAGTTGTCCGCCGCGCGCAGGGCCCTGTCTGCTTCCCCCCTTGCCCCCGGCAATGAGGCTACGCTCCAGGAGCTTCGTGATCCGGCGCGCCGGCCGCAAGACGCCTACGAACCCATCCCTGATGACATTCTTGCTTTCCGCCCGCCCGATGTTGAGCCCTTGCGGGCCCCCGTCCTACTCGCCAACCTTCGCCGGGCCAGCCTCGCCCGGCCCTTCCGGACACACTGCCGAGCTCCTGCGCCTTGTTCTTGACGACCCGAGGCCCTCCCACCGCTTTGCTCGGGTCTCTCTCAGTTGCTGGCCAGAGGAGCCGTGCCCCCTGCCATTGCTTCCGCTCTTGGCCTCGGTCGGCTCGTTGCTCTCACCAAGCCTTCCGGGCGGGTCAGGGGCATTGTTGTCAGTGACTTCCTTCGCCGCCTGGCGCAGCAGTATGCCGCGCCCATCCAGGAAGCGTGCAGCCCGCATCAGTTTGCTCTGTCTACTCGCTCTGGCACCGACTCAGTTGTGCACGCCCTTTCTGTTGCAACCGAGCTTGGCCCCACTGCCACCATCGTCTCCGTTGATGGGGTAGGAGCCTTTGACACGATCTCTCGCACTGCCATGCTGCGTGGCTTGCAGTCTGTCCCTGGCGCCAATCTTTGCCTGCCTTTCGTGCGTCTCTTCTACACCACCCG